GCATGGGCTACCCCCTGTAGAGGGCGGGTACATGTCTTGGACCTGGGGGGTATAGAGTGCGTATCGGGAATAAGAATGAAATGTATCGTTATTGTATGTCTTTAAGTGAGTGAGTGTAAGAATGAGGCTGGGACTGTGTGATTGTGTCTGTGTATGAATGGGTATTTGTTTGGCCGAGACTCGGACTGCCCCCTCTTTGATACAACTGCGGGCGCTTGGCATCGCGCCCCTATCGCGCGGCCCCCTGGTGGGGTGTGCCCTTGCCTGCCGGTGCGCTTGGGGCCCTTGGAGTCGGGGGCTGGGCGCTTGGGCGTGTGTCGGCTCGGCCTGGTGTTTGCCTGGTGGGGCTCGGGTCCTCTGGCCCTGTCAGGCCTTGGCCTGGGTGGTGTGGGTCCTCGGTGCCCGGGCCTCCGTGCCCGGGCCTCCGTGCCCGGGCCTGGACCTGCATCGGTACGGCGGGTTCCGGCGGGGCCTATGAGTTTGTCGCTGTTGGCCCCGGGGGGTCACTGTATGTGGTCGCTGGTGGGGTTCTTCCGGCTCTCCCCTGTGGTCCGATCTGGGGGGTGGGCGAGTGGTTCGTCCTGTGTAGGTGGCCCTGGGGGCTCCGTGGTCGGGGTCCCTCCTGGGGTCTTGGGCTCTGATCCCCCCTTTGTTCGTCTGCCTCTGGTCTTGGGGGTCGGGTCTCTGCTGCTTCACAGTTACTATTAAATGTTCTATTAGAGAAGCCTTATACGCTTATGCATGTTCACAACCATGTAGATGAACATATTCTGTGATATATTCATAAATTAAACGGATTCATTCATTTTTCTGGACTGAATAATGTCGTGCATTGAATTATTAAAAACGTAACGTGAGACGTTAATTTTCTTTGACCCATCAAAATGAACGTGGTCATTTATTTTCAGAATCAAAATTTAACATCAAACCTTTACATTAATTTGGCAAAATTGAAAATAACAACAGGTTAATTAATCAGTTTACAATTAGAAGACCATACGGCGATGGTTGAAAACCTTGCTTCACAACAGACATTTCTGAAAATATCTGGAATGATTTCTAGCAAAAAGAAGAGTTTAAAGATGGAAATTGAAGTTTAAGTTGAGAGAGATGGGTGAGGGAATTTGTCTGTTATAACCAGAACAACACGCTCCTTCTGGACCCAGCTTTCCTCGGTACGCTCGGTAGTAAACTCGACTCATTACCTCTCTGACGATGAATCAGCGGATACGGAGTTCCAGTTAACGCTACCGGTCCAGCGTCTCCGTAGGATGGTAGGGAACCGTTCGGAGTCGTGAGATCATCCAGAACAGACTTCATAGTTCCTCTGAACTTCTCTCGTCCAGCTTAGTTGCAGATGTCCTGAGCATTCTGCATTCCAGCATTCTGAACTCTGCTGCTCTCGGAACTAACTCACAGCATTCTCTCAGCGTTCTTCTCAGCGTTCTTCTCAGCGTTCTTCTCAGAACTACTGAGAACTTCTCAGAACTTCCCAGAACTTCTTCCCACTCTCTCTGAACTAGGAAGTGTTAAACCTTTTAAAGAGGTCACTTCCGGTCCATTTGGGAAGTTTTCTGATTGGTCGATTGACCAGACAGAGGTGTGTTTTTGTGATGTAAGAGGTTATTAAAAGTCAAGGGAAAAAGATTAGATTGTTTAAGAACAGACAGAAGATATTATGAAGAACTCAGACTTCGTGGAGTCACTTCTCTAGTATCTTTCTGTAAAAGTTAAACATGACATTTCTTTTTCAGTAAACTTGCAGTTGACCGAAACTTGACCTTTGACCAACTTACACAACTTGCTCATTTCAGACAGAAGATCAAGAAATTGAATCATTACTCTGTAACACATTCTTAACTTGATTTCCACTTTGAATGAGGATAAAAATCACTAATACTGTTTCACAGCGGATTTAAAAATGAGTAGTTCACTTCAACATTTGAAAATGGTTTGAACTAAACACACTTTGATTATCAAAACATTTGTAAAATAGTAATGATAATAGAAAAGAGAGTGTTCTTTCAATTGATCAGTGCAAGACACTTAGAAAGTCTCTGGATGAACTTAATCTTGTGTTTCTGGACTCAAATCAATGAAATACAGTTCTTGTTCCAGGAAGGCCCTCAAGGCCAGGTTTTGACCTGAGGCTTAGTTCACTACAACCACACACAAATAGAAGCAGGGATGCTTATGTAGGCTTTATATGTAGATATATAGATATGTATATGAATGTATATTCATGTATATGTATGTATGTATATAGGCGTAGGTATGGGCATATATATTTATGGAAACTAACTGCAAAGCAATGAATATTTTAAGTTCTTTATACATATGTATTTTGTTGCTGTGTTTTGTCATGTTCTTTGCAGGTGAACAGACAGTGGCCGGGTGTTTTGCCGTGTGCTCTCTTTGTGTATATTTCTTATATTTTGGAGTCTTGCTTTGTCTTTTCTTTCTTTCTATCCTATTAAAAAAAAAAAAAAAAACCCTACACTAGATAGTCACTAGAATAAATATTTCATAATAATGGTGTGGAGGGGATGGCTGTAAGGGGAGAAGGGAGGCCATCAGAAAAAAAAAAAAAATCAGCTGATTTACGAGATGGAGGCGATTTGTGAGAATCGCAGGCTACCTGCGGCTTCTAGGACTTGCCAACATGTTGGGATCAACCTTGAAAAAGGCTCATAGCATGGATCAGTAGAGTGGATACCCATAAATCTGCCCATTTTGGACCGGAAAAGTTCCAGCAGGACTCAAGGCTGAAAAGAAAAAAAAAACAGTCTACCTGGAGAAAATCAACAATTGTGCCTTATCTGAATCTGACTCCCCTGTTTGACCTTGGATACAAGCCGAGTATCAAATTTCTCCTGGGACATCAGTAACTAGGGAAGAAGCATAGTCTATCGCAATACCCTCGCCCCCCACCCCCCCCGGCCCATGCAGGCTTATCAGAACTGCCAGCTGAACAACAACATCATCAGGACTGTGGCCTATCTGAAAGTGCTTCATGGGCAAATCTCAAAGTCTTGACTGTTACAACGGGAGCTGGATGCGGGTCACGGGTCACTGCAGCCAGCTGTTGCTAGCTGTGGGCCTCAGGCCTCTTCGGACCCCAGGTCCGTCCCCAGCTCATGCTGCCCCCCTTGCTCGGATCCCCCTCAGAAGCGGCAACTCACACTATTACTAAATCAAGGAAATGTAAATTCAGTTTTATTGTATTGCAATCAAGGCAGAAGAAGGTTACAGTTTACAGCTCTGGCCAGTCCGGTACACGACGCAAGATCAGGAACCGGAAGGGCCGGATCTCCCATGTCATTACAGATTTATAGGCCCTAGGCTCCTCTTTCGCAGAAGGGAAGCACCACCTATCACCTGTATGAGAAGGAGTGGCTAAATGTGATCTGAATGGATCTTATCTGGTTTGACGTATAAGGAAAAAATGAGATGGTGCTTAAGAAGACTTTCTACGTGATGAGCATAGGCATCGCAACCATTATATGTGAAGGGGACAAGTCCCCCCCCACATTAAAAAAACGTTCATTTGGATCCCCCCACTTTTACTATAAGATATTAGTTCAGGCGGCGCAGTTTCTCTTTCTTTGTGAACAAATCCATTCCACTTGATTAATAGGAGAATACTCAAGCCACTAAAACTGCATTCCAGGTTTTCCTGGTTACCTCCAACTCTCCACCGTCCCTTCTTGCCTCTTGCCTCGGAAGAAAACACGCACAGGTGGAGGTACCTGTGTTACTCGCTCGCCAGTTTAGCGAGCTTAGTGCGGGCAGTGGTTGACCGGGAGTTTGATCATAAACAAATATTCATGTTAGGACGATGCTTGAGAGGAGAGCTACGTCTGTAGCATCTTAGCTCAGCAGTAATTGTGATGCTGTAAGACGCTGCAGATGTAAGAGACGTGGTGTGTTCAGGTGCATTAAAGCTGAAATGTCTTTAAAACCCCACACCTTATTGTCCTCAAGCTTCATGAGAAACATCCATTTAGATGAGGAATGTTGAACACAAGTAAAAAAACATCCAGTGGTGATGTTTTTTTATTTCTCTATAAAGACAAATAGTGCCGATCTGACGCTCTGTATTAAAGTGTATTAAAGTTAAAATATCTTTTAAAATCCACAGATGAATTTACACAAACTTGGTGAGAAACATGCTTTAAATGTGTGGAATTAAATGAAATCTAGGTGAAATGCTGCTTTTTTGTACACTAGTGAACGCCTTTTTTACGTGCGCACACACGTGCACGCGTGCGCACACACACCTACACACATCATTGTGTTCCCCCCACATTACGGATGCTTCTGACGCCCTTAGTGATGAGCGAGCAAATAAAGAAATAACAAATCAAATATAAACTCTATTCCTTGACGAATATTAAATCCCTGCGAGACTCTTTTTAGAGTTTCTGGCCCCGTTTAAACCAGTCAGAACCAGGTCATAATTTCATTATAATTCCGTCTCTGAGTAGATCAAAAAACCCAGGGTCAGTCTAGATAAAAATACTAACATGACGTCAATTGCATATGTAATCGTGTTTATAAATGTGCTTGCTGGTAGAGTTTTTTTGATGTTTCAAATCATGTCCTGATAAGATAAGATGTGGAGATCTTTTTTTATAATGCTACTATCTTTATCTTGATGGCTTTTACCTTTTCTATCTAAAAGTATTCTGATAAACAGTAAGGGGCTGCGTTATTATAGCAGCAGCAATGTGCACTACGCCCATCTTTCAGGCGACTGCACGAGCATAATTTCACTGTATTTCAGTACATTGATAATAAAGCTTATTCTGATTCTGGCTCTGCCCTTTCTTGTAGAGGACATTGGTGTTAGCTGTCCAGAATGCACTAGTATGCAGTTGAAAAAAAAAGTGTTTTCATTCATTCAACCTTTATTTATTCTGGTTAGTCTCACTGAGCCAGGATGACTCATTGACAAGAGAGACCTGTATTTTAGTAACAAACTGATAATCTTTTTGCAGGCTTCAAGCTTTTGCTGGAGGTGTTCAGTGTGATCCACGGTCCTCAGGAGGAGTGTGTACGGGCTCTGAGGAATGGCCACCTCCTGGGGATTTCTCCTGGAGGAGTTCGGGAAGCTCTGTTCAGTGATGAGACCTACCCTCTTCTGTGGGGCAAACGTAAAGGTTTTGCTCAGGTTGCGATTGATTCTCAAGTGGTGCGTGGTTTCAGTTTTTTATTATTATAAATTGTTACTGTGTTTCTTTTAAAACCCTAAAAACCAGCAGCATCCCATTGAGCTTCATCAATCAGCAAAATATAGAAAGCATTTTATTAGACATTTTAAAATTATTAAAAGAACAAATAAATAATGTAAAAATCTAAACAAAGTTAAGTCTTGTCCTCTGGACATTCAAAAAACAAAAAGCAAAACAAACAAACAAAAAAATGCAGAAACGTTTCGTCTTTCATCCGAAAGACTTCCTCAGTCTGAGGTGCTGTATTCAGCTCAGTCTTATAAATAGCACCTTCTCATAGTGGATCAACCAAAGGACCAGACTTAACTTTCTTTAGATTTTTCTACCTGGATTATTGAGCATGCATCAGAATAAATAATTTGTTAACGAGTAACTTCAGCAAGCATGGACAGACTTTAAGCATTCATTAAAATCTAATAATCACTACTACAGAGCTTTTGTGAAACACATCCAATGTTCATTGCTTATATAGCTTATACAGCTTGTACTTATATAGCGTATATATCTATATAATCAGTGCTTTAGATCACATTCATACACCGATGGGACACACATCAGAGGCTATGAGGGGCTCAGTGTCTTGCCCAGGGACACTTCGACATGTGACTGCTGGTGGATTCGAACCCCCAACTCTCGCATTGGAGCATGACTGCTCTAACCACTCAGCCACAGCCGTCCCTAATGAGATGGATTTTAATTAAACTTTTAGGTGATCATCTTCAGCTGAATAGAGTTAGGAGCCAACCTAATTCAAAATTGCCACTATAGCCTGCTGACTTTAGAAAGCCTCTAAATAGATACACTGCCTGGCCAAAATAAAAAAGTTGCCTCCTGGATTTAACTAAGCAAATAGGTATGAGCCTCCTATTGGTTAATTACTGCATGGGTGATTATCTTTCAGCTGGGAACAAGTTATCTAACCCCAACTGGTTCAATGAGTTGCTTCTCATTTCTTAAACAACCATGTCAAAAGACACATTGCGTTATCGTGGAAAAGATGTCAGTCTGTTTGAGAAGGGTCAAATCATTGGCATGCATCAAGCAGAGAAACCATCTAAGGGGATTGCAGAAACTACTAAAATTGGGTTAAGAACTGTCTAGTGCATTATTAAAATCTGGAAGAATGGTGGGGACCCATCGTCTTCGAGGAAGAAATGTGGCCAGAAAAATATCCTGAATGATCGTGAACGGTGATCACTTAAACGTTTGGTGAAATCAAATCCAAGAAAAACAACGGTAGCACTCAGGACTGTGTTTAATAGTGAAAGTAAGAGCATTTCCACACGAACAATGCAAAAGGAACTCAAGGGATTAGAACGTTGGTTACGTACTGTAACCTCAGATTCTATGAGTATAGGCGTAGCCCTTTAAGGCTGTCGATGATGGGTTTATCCCGATATGCGAAGCATTGCACTGAAAAATTTAGTCCACGCCCACCTGCTGTGTGGGCCCCACCCGGTCCGTATAAATTATGTTAAGAGCAGGTAATCGGCTCCCAAATAGCTTTTTCTTCAGCCATTTAGGAGCCAGTGAGGCCAGACGCTTAAAGGGCTACGCCTATACTCATAGAATCTGGGGTTACAGTATGTAACCAACGTTCTATTTCGTATAGGCTTTGCCCTTTAAGGCTGTCGCTGATGGGTTAAGGGCGAAGCGGATGTTGTCCTCGCCTCACTGGGTCCAATCGAACACCGTATGAAGCAGAAGCTTGCCCAAAAAAGTCTTGTCACTCAGCTCCCCATGTGCGTAATTACGCTTTGCGTAATCATGTGTGCCATGCACAGACGCTTGTTGTGTAACTGTGCGTTCTGAATGCATGAACGCCCTGGAAAACTTTCAACGGGGAGGGAAAAAAGCTGAAAAGAGCCATGAACCAACCGGTTTATGGCTGAACAGTATGAACAGATTAATAATAACAGGAGAGCTGATTATTAATCAAATGAACTGATTAGTAACAATGGAACCAAAATAACAACCACAACTTGTGACTGATAACAACATCTCACACTGTAATGCATGCAGACAGTTGTGAGTAAAACGGAGTTCCATGAAACAACAATATTCATTCTGTAAACACAAAGGACAGAATGTGTCATGGAACGGACCGTCACATCACGTAGATAAAAGTGAATGAATGAGCAAGGTGTTGACCACGCGGCCGCAGTGCAAATGTCCTGCATTGTCATACCATTATGCAAAGCAGTCGAAGATGCGATACCTCTGGTCGAGCGTGCTCTGAGGTTGACAGGAGGCTCTAAATCTGATGCTCTGTAGGCTTCAGAAAAAGGCCTCACACAGCCAGTGTGACAAGCGCTGGGTGGATAACGGGCGACCTGCAGATGCATTTCTATAATGCACAAACAGATGTTAAGTTTGACGCATTGCAGTAACACGTCAACGCCCGCATCGGACAGAGAAGATGGAAAGACGCTACTTCTTCTGATCTGTGGGGGGAGAAAAACCCCTCCAACTATATCGCTCTTGATTTAAAAGAGCTTGTGATGTTTTTAGGCATAAAAGCTGGGTTTGGTCTTAAATCAGCTGAGCTGCCGTCAGCCTGAATTCTGAGACATGACGGTGCGACAGAGAGGGCAGATAAATCACTCACCCTCTTAGCGGATGTTAAAGCCAGCAGCAGGGCTGTTTTAAGAAACAAGAATTTAAGTGGAACCTGATCCAGAGGTTCAAATGGAGCTTTGATCAGGGCCTGCAGGAGCAGCGTTAAATCCCACTGTGGAACAAGTGGGCGTGAAACAGGCCTGCGTCTCTGTACACCTTTTAGAAAACGCTTTATCAGCGGATGATTAAAAGCTGTTCTGTCTCCGAACCCTTCGTGGCAGGAAGAGATGGCTAAGGGCGTACGTTTTAATCATGCTGAACGCCAAGTTCCTGTCCATCAGTTGTTGTAGAAAGGACAGCATGCCACCTAGTGGACATGAAGGTGGCCTCTACACCCTTCTCTGTACACCAACGCTGAAAAGCTGTTCGCTTTGATGTGTACAGCGCTGTGGTAGATGCAGCACGTGATACCTGAATTGTGCGCACAACATCCTGTGGGAGACCCATCCTCTCTAAGCGGATCCGCTCAGCGGTCAGACCCACAGGTGCTGGCCTATTTATGGGTAACTTCTGATCACTCCTCCTGCCTGGAAGAGAGCGACCTCCCTCCACGGCAGTTTCCACGGGCGCCCCGACAGCAGGCTTTGCAGGACTGGGAACCATGGTGCGTTCACGCGCTCGGGGGCCACCAGGAGAGCTGTCAATCCCTCCTCCTGAACTCAGTTCAGGAACCGTAAAATCAGAGGAGGTGGAGGAAACGCGTACAGAAGTGTTTTGAGCCATGGGCTGTGGGCAAACGCATCTACCCCCAGCGGTGGTTCGTCTAGCGGGCTCAGAGAAAACCATAATTGACACTGAGCGTTTTCTCGTGTCGCAAATAGGTCCACAGCTGCTTTGCCAAATTTCTGCCACATCTGAGCCATCAGATCTGGATGGAGAGTCCAGTCCCCGTGACGTGGACCGCCCCTGGACATCACATCTGCCCCTTAGTTCAGAACACAGGGTATATAAACTGCTCTGATGCAGAGCAGATTTTGGTGTGCCCAACACAGTAGTTTTTGCGCAATGTGTAACATTTGGGCTGGGCGCACACCCCTCTGCCGGTTTATGTACGCAGCAGTCACCTTATTCTCTGTGTGAATCAAAATGTGTTGATTCTACAGCACAGGCGCAAAATGTTGAATCACGTTCAGCACCGTACGACACTCCAAAACATTTATGTGGGCTGATGTGTGATGGGGCCACAGCGCCCCTACTGCTTGAGATAGGCATGTCCCCCCCAGCCTGACAGTGCCACGTCTGTGAAGACTGACACGTGTGAGGTGGGTCTGCTGACTGGGACTCCCTCCGACAGAACCAGGGTGTTTCCCCAGTGTCGGAGATCTGCCCTCACGGAGGGAGGAACAGTGATCATTCGTCTCTTTTGTTTTACTGGATCCACACGCAGACGCGCAAACCACCTCTGGAGGCGTGTCGTGTAGTAAGCCCAGTGGGACCACTGTGTGAGCGGACGACATCATCCCTAACAGCTTCATGACGGAAACAGCTGTTACCACTCTGCCAGGTCTCACATGGCGGAGCTGGTCTTCCAGAGTGTTTCGATTCTCGTTTGTGATAAACGAGCCCTCATGGTGGTTGAGTTTAGCTCCACTCCCAGATAAACAATTGTCTGGGTTGGGAAAATCGAACTTTTCTTCCAATTTATGGCGAAACCCCGATTTAACAGGTGTGATGTCAGATCCTGGACCTGTCCCGCTGCTTCCTGTCTGGAGCGTGACAGCAGCAGCAGGTCGTCCAGATAAAACAAAACTCTCATCCCTGCTTTGTGTAACGATTGCAGGGCCGTCTCCACACACTTTGAGAACGTACGAGGTGCGAGGGAATAACCAAACGGCAGCCTTTTGTACTGATACTTCATCCCTTGAAAGGAGAAACGCAGGAACTTCCTGTGTTTTGGTATGTGAAATCAAGCATTTTTCAGGTCGACGGAAAACAAACCAATCGTTTCTCTGGATGTTGTCCAACAGCTGTCTGGTTGTCAACATGTGAAACGGTCTGTCCATGATCGCCTTGATGAAAACTGACAGATCCAAAATGGGTCTCATCCCTCCGGTCCGTTTGGGAAACAGGAAGTAACGTGAGTAAAACCCTGTGTTTTCCTCTCCGTTGGGAATGCTGGAGATTCCTTTTTTTACCAGAAGTTCTTGGACTTCTGCATTTAGGGATGAGACCTAGTCTGGTGATGACAGGACCGTCTCTAAAATTCCTCCGAACGGGAGGGGTCGGGTTGCAAACTGCAACGTGTAACCCTATCTTAACACCCTGGCCATCTACAAGTCCTTCTCTAAAAATTAGCATATTGTGATAAAGGTCATTATTTTCCATAATGTAATGATAAAAA